GATAACGACATGGTCAGCCCTTGCAAAACACTCCTACTGCCTTCAAGAAAACACACAAAGGACAATTCTGAGAGAATTTGTATTTGTTGTAGTAATTTCTCACACACATTCAATAGCTGACATTTATCCACTTGTAAATGCAAATTATTCCTTTTCTCCTGAGAATTGGATTGATGGACAGGAGTAAACAGAAATCTCCATCCCTGTGTAAGCTCAGGAAATGCCACTATCAACATCCTTTAAATGAAAATAATGCTATCTTAAAAGCCCCATTTAAAAATAATATTTCATATTTTTAATTTAGGAGAGGTAAACAAATAGTATCATTTTACAAGAGAAAATTCAATAAGGATACTATTGTTTTGTAAGCTCTACAAATTTTCATGTATTTTATTTTTAAAAAATGAAAAATTTGACATGTGGTATTTATACAATGTATGTGATGGTAGATTCATTTCTATACTAGATAGTGATGAATTCAGGGTTATTGGCATATCCACTGAATAGATCTCAACTACTTATTTATGGTGAATACATTCAATTTTCTACATTCAATGTAGAACACTACTATTAATTCTACATTCAACATGATAATCTCAATTTTTTATTGAAGATTTTTGAATGAGACTCATTGTCCCTGATTACAGATCTTAAGACGGACTTTCAGCACTATTTCTAACTTAGGCCATTTTCCATCAAGGTCTCCAGGACAAGTTGTTCCTTTGAGAGTAAGTGTGCCTCTGCACAGAAACATCTACAGATCAAGTTGAATGGTCAAATTCAATGGCTAAATTTTTGTTTTTGTTCTCTTTTTAATTGAAAATAGAGTCTACACTTATCCAATATAACCTGAACATAGCCCCCCCTCCTTTTCCTTCTCCCCACCACCCTCTCCAGATCAACTCCCTTTCTGTCTCTCAGAAAACAACACAAAACAAAACACCACCACCACCACCAACAACAACAACAGCAACAAAAAACAGACTCTCTAATCTCTTGGTATCATGCTTTCCTTTCGTATCTTATAAGCTTATATATTTTTTTATTTCCACCAAAAGAAAGCAATCCACTCTTGCTCTTGTCAGCACCAGGAAGGTTCTCTACGGGAAGCTCATAAAAGCAGTAAGAAGCATATAGGCTTAACTCTACAGACAAGGATAAAGAGAAGCATGAGGTAGTCAAGCATATGATACAGAGACTACTTTCTTCTCCCAAGACTTGAAGGGAAGAATTAGCTAATCTATGCTTGTCTATCAACTCTTAGTGAGATAGTTCCTAAAGCATAATGACAGAGCCAAGAAACAGTGTCTCATTTGGTTAAAATAAATGAGTTTTCAGATTTACTTTCTTCTTTGTTGGTACAAATCCCACTCACTCCTTAAAAGTCTACTGCTCCACAGATAGAAATGGATCTTGAAAATGAGAGGGGTCACCTACCAGTTCAGCCATAATGCCTTGAAGTGACATTTAGGTTCTTTTCAACTCTGCCCCCTCTTATATGTTTCCCATCTTTGGCTCCAATACAGTGTTCTGAGTACACTGTACATTTCTGAATTTCAGCCTCAGGTGAGAGTTTTATTTTCACTAGTTTGCCTCACACTACTTCGGTCTGTATCCTCTAAGCATCATCTCCATGACAATTGCTGCAAGAAGACCACTGTCCAGTATCACACAGTCAGCATCTTAAATAGACATTGTTTTGCTCTACTCTAAAATCCTTGTACTGACTATCATCTCCCAGAGGGATGAAACCAGTTTCTACCCCTCTACGTGTTCTTCACCATACCTAAAACATGAGCAATTAACATACAGGAGCTCCAATGGTACCCCACTTAACACCTGTGCACTAACTCTTTGAGTAAGGTATTTGATACAGTTGTGTTTTAAAGTCTTTATATTGGCAATTTAAAAAATGTCCATATATTTAAGGTTGAGATGAATAATTTGTTGGAGCAGTTTATAACAGTGCCTGGAATATAACATTCCTTAAATAAATACAGACTATTGTTTAGTAGGAAATGGATAATAGTTATGTTGGAAATTTTCACATGTTCATTATTAAGCTAGTACATATGATTAAAGATTATTTATACCTGCAGTACAATCCAAGTGAGAGAGGAGTGATAATATGAACAAAGGAGTCAAGGCCATGATGGGGTAATCCACAGAATCAGCTCACCTAAGCTAGTGAAAGATCACTGACTCTGGTCTGACAAATGGGGAACCTGCTTAAGACCAAACCCTTAATATAGGTGACAATGGTGTGACTGGGACAATATATGAGACCACTGGCAGTGTGTCCAAGATCTAACTCTAATACACAAACTGACTTAGTGGAGCCCATTCTACATGGAGAGATACCTTACTCAGACTAGACACAGGGGTGTGGGGTGGAGGTGTGCCTTGATCCGACCTCAACAAAGGGGATGGGTCAGATTTAGTAGACTTCCTCGGGCAGGCCTTACCCTCTTTGAGGAGCAGATGGGAGGTGGCAGGGGAGTGGAAGGGAACGGGAGGAGAGGAGGGAGAGGGACTGGGATTAGAAGGTAAAAAAAATAAATTTATAACAAAAGCTGAAAAAGATTATTTTTATAACTTCCTTATAGAATAATATGGTGGTAGATATAACTATTCTACCTTATAAAATGAGGCTCTAAGAGAATGATACCATTTTAACCTAAAAGTGACAATTATGGACTATCTGAGAGTCTTTATTACGGTGGCTGAAGATTGGACTTGGCACCAGGGTATCAACTCTCTCTCAGATGATAAACAGATGCTTTCCACTAAAATTCTCACTAAAGGGTTGGCCTTACTGGTAATTAAAGGCCTGGTAAAATCTAGGATCCAGCTTTTGGCCCACTGTGAATAGTACCATCCACACTTTAGCTAGCCTCACCTACAAATAACTATTTAGCTGAACATGAAGCCTGAAATTCTTTCTCTTTAAGATATTTGCATACAAGAGACTCATCTATCCTTTGTCAAAAATCTAAATGATGACAGAAACTCCTCAAGATACATTCATACTCTGTTCTTTGTCTTCATTGATTAACTAGCATTTATGTTTTGAGTGCCATGTATTTTCTTTGTTGAGATGAATAATCTAAACTGTTTCAATTTTATCTTATTATTTATTATTCATTTCTGCATGCATTCATTCATAACTGTGATGTGACCTTGCTTGTACAAATAAAGCCTATCTGAAGGTCAGAGAATGGAGTTTGCCATTAGCTAACCATAGAAGTCTGGAGGGCTGTACAGTCAGACAGGAAGTAGAGTGGCTTGGCAGAGATAGGATATAAGCGGGAAGAAATAGGAATTCACTCTCTTGTCTGCTGGACACCTGCTCCTTCTTCCTGCTCTTTCAGCATTTTCCTCTATATCTGACTCTGGGTTTTTATTATTTACACTAATTAAGAACTCCATTTACATTTGATGTCTGTCAGATATGCTAGCTCTATAGGCCTAAGATGGATACCCCAACATTGCAGATCAACCTTGGGTGACTGTCCAGGCAGCCAGCTATTTCTCACATTTATTGGAATTCATTTTCTTGCACTTCTTGCTTACTCAGTTAATAGTATTTCCTTCTTGGATCTCTGAGAGAGTTGGAGACTAGATAGTATATAGTTTTCCTTGTTTACAAGACTCAGTAAGAAAATCACTAAAGATGTGTTAAGTGTAATAGGTTTGGAAGACATTAAAAGATAATTTGATAATGCAAATTAGAACAGAAAGTAAATTAGGTACAAGACTTTGGACTCATCAAGAAAGAATAGCTATTGGAATATTTTCTCTGAATTTGTCAAATGCAAATGGACTAGAATTGTTAATGTACTTATTGCCTATATATAATATATATAATTATCGCATATAGTTTTTCTTATATTAGTTTTAACCTGTCTTTAAAATTTTAGACAAAAAAGGGGGATATGTAGTGATGTCTTGCTTGTACAAATAAAGCCTGTCTGAAGGTCAGAGAATGGAGCTTGCCACTTAGCTAACCATAGAGGTCTGGAGGTCTGTACAGACAGACAGTAAGTGAGATGGCTGGGTGGAAACAGGAAGTGAGATGGCTAGACGGAGAAAGTATATTAGCAGGAAGAAACAGGAACTCACTCTCTTGTCTGCTGAGGCTCTAAGGAGGTAAGGTATGGCTGTGCCTTGCCCCTTTTTTTCTCTGATCTCTCAGCATTTTATTCTATTTATGACCCTGGGTTTTTATTATTTAGACCAATTAAGAACTCCATTTAGACATAACTGTTATAAACTCTTTTAACTCCACTTGTATTTTAAATTTACTGTAACTGTGGCCCCCTAGGACACCTAGTCCCATAGTATTTTCACTCTGTAATAAATTTGATCTTACTAAATAATTTGATTCTATTATCTTTTCATTCTTTCTTTTATTTTCTTTTTCTTTTTCTTTCTTTTTTTTGGCATTATTGAAGACAATCTCAAGGATTTCTCCATTCTTAGCCATTTCTCTTTCATCAATTGTAATGAAGCCACTGGCCTCTGCTCATTGTCCATACTCTCTTACAGTATTAAAGCCTATAGCATGGCTTCAACAACTTCCAAGTTGCTTATAGCTACAAACACAGACTATCAGTCCAGATAACCCCTTAATCACTGGAAGAATATTCATGATACCCAAAGGTCATCTATAATGAAACAGTCATAGGTTCATAAACTAAAGTTATTGAGAACTGAGCTTCGTATCTGTTAACATGAACATAACCATCCCTTTAGAGCAATTTCCATCTCTTGTATTTGGATTCCAAATCAAGGCTGCCTGAGCTTGTTGATCCTTTTATGCTTTTCTGCCTTACCTGACCATACATATTGCTACCTAAGAGGTAGATGATATAAGGACATTGAAAAAGTGGGCTGGTGAGTAAATGAAAACTGGAATGCAAAACCACTCAATGACTTGACTTTTCCCAACCTTCTCCACTAAAGAGCTTTTCATTAATGGGATAGGAGGCTGTCCTTACCACAAGTGCCTGACTGGCAGAGGTGTGTGTTTCATGGCCACGAGGGCGCCACCCCAGTCTAGGAACCAGACATTGTACTCTTCATCAAAGATCTGGAACAACAACAACAACAGCAGTGATCAGAGCAATGCCTCACATTGGCAGTGCTTTACAATTGGCAGTCTTTCATACACATCATTTCGTTTACCTTCTGTGCTCTCCGGTGGCTCTACAGGACAGTCTGACACATATTATCTGCATTTAATAGATGAGAAACTGGGCTCACAGAGAGCAAACGGCTCTCCTTATCCCACTGAAATGGCACATCCAGGACATTTCCCACTAGTCATGTGAACCAAAATACTACATGAAGGCAAAGCGATATGGTATATGCTCAACTAGGTAATCCTTTCCCCCCGCCCAAAAAGAGCATGATTAAAAAACTTCCCACCTTTGCTTTCTTATAAATTACTTTTCTCATCTCTGTTTCTTTGTCTTTATGCCTTTTTAACTAAACAGAGAATTTCTCCAGACCCTAGAACAATAGAACTCTTAGACATAGTCACTACTTCCTAGATTCTTCTAGAGGCTGGAAGAAGACCCAAATTTTGTGCCTATGAATCAAATATTTACAAATATGCATTACAATATATATAGTTTTCCTGGGCCTTAAGACAAGCCAGTACTTGACACATACATTTTTCCAAAGCTTATTAACTATCCATTCACTATCTACTGATTCAATGATCCACATCTCCATCTTTTTATTTGCTAAGCACCAGCAAAATATGAGTCTCAACAAAGATGTTTTCAGATCTAATTCCACATATATCAAGGCATATGGTTTGTATAATTCTAGCTTGAAACAGGAAGAGTAATTATTCACCAAAGACCCCCAATTTCAGAGTTCATAGAAGAAAACAGACATGATGAATTCTTCAAGTTCTGAACTCTGTTGTTGGCTCATATGACAGAGATGCACAGTATAGGATGATGACTCAGAAGTAAAGACTAAAAGATGGTAAGCAGGAGCTGGCAGGTGGAAAAGAGGAATGAGTAGAAATAATGTGATTTCCTGCAATATGTTCAAATGAACACAGAAGTATGCTTCTCTGTCTTAAAATTCTTATTTCTCATTCTTCACATTTATCTTTTCAGTGAAGAAAAATGCCCTACCAATGGCCACCCTTAACATGCAAAGGCCTTATGGTTGCAATTCACATATATTTCAAATATGATGACGAGGTGAAGTCTGCAGTTCTAGTCAGAGGATAGCTCTGTGATAAGTAATGTAATGGGGATAAAGGACTGAAGCCAGGGAGGCAGAGAAAGTAGTACTTAGACTTCCCTCTTGATACTGTCTTCCATTGCCAGTTCTTCCTCTGACAGTCATAGGCATGAAAAGTAGAAGCTTGGGAAGTTTGAGAAAGAGAGGAAGAAAAGCAAAATGATAGGGGCATAATGGGAGGAATGTAGCATTGGCCAGGTAATATATTTCTTTAGGTTCTTGGACAATGATTGTTCTTTATACTGGATGAGTTAACTTTCCAGCTCCTGACCTCTTTTTATAGATTATCTTATATTCTGAAGGCTGACACCTATTCACATGTCTGTTCCCTAGTCACTTGGTTACAGCCTTTGGATCAAGAGTTATCATATTCTCCACTGTACCCTGTATATCAGTTAAAATAGCTATTGCACCCATTAAGTCCCTGGCAACACTGTTTGTGGTGGTAGTAGTGACAATGATGGCAGTGAGGGTGATGGCAATGTGGTGGTGATGCCAGACTTCATTTGGCCATCCAAATTGGAACTGGACCAGCAAGACCGCTAATGGTGAATTAACCTGCATCAGGACATTCAGTGCCTTTCCCTTCTCTTCCCCAGCTAGAAATCTTATTCTTTTTAAGACTTAGTAAAACACCACCTCGTAAGAAGAACCAATTAATCACCCTCCTTTCCATGATAAGACTACTAAAATAATACAATCACCCTGAACTACATTTTGTTTTATGTTAAAACTATTTCCTTCATATAATTTTTGAACTTCTTCAATGAAGGAATATCAAATCTTGAGGCTCTTGTCTGATACATTGTTGACATTAACTATGTGTTGACTAATATAGTAGTTCCATGTGGTTACTTACATTAAACTTAAATCAAAAGTTCAGTTCACACTCCGCATATATCAGCTATGCAATGGCCGTGTGCGACATTGTTATCACCGCTCCAAGTTCTACTGTTTGCAATACTGAATTGATGTTTCTTGTCGACATATATGTATTAAGCTGTCTCATATCTACTGATAGCTGGGTCTATATAATTCTAAATTATCATTGACTTTAGTGACTTTTCTGGTTTCAACATTCTAATCCTTTCCCTTTGCAGATAAAGAAGCAGCTCAAGAAAGCTGATGAGGGAGACTGCTTGCCAAGATTCCTTGGCACACTAATGACAAAAAACATCCCATCAGAGTGTCCCAGAAACCAGAGCAATGCTTAGCATCCAGAGGCTGTTACACACATAAGGCTGAAGGGATGGAATAAGCAGTCAGACTAAATCTAGGTTTTCTTCTCACAGGCCCAGGCGTCTTTTTACCCACCATTACCCCTCTAAACCTGTTAGTCAGAGTAAACTGCAGTTAGTCAACTATTTTTTTGACTACAAAGTGATAAGGAATCTAAGAATCCATGGGATTGAAAGATGCTAGATGTCTTAACTGTCTACTTTACTTTAAATATCTTTCTTCTCCCTGAATCATGACACTTACCTGTCTCCATGTGTTGCCCCCATCGGAGGAGATGAACACACCAATATCTGTATAGGAGAGTTCTGAGCCAATGTTGCCTGAAACATAAACAGATCATCTGAAATTGTCAGGCAGTTCAAGTGTGCTCAGGGTTAGAGGAGGATGTTACAGTAAAGGTTCCCCAAAGGATGCTTACAGTTTATTTGTGTACACTCTTTCTTGAGGTCACCTAAAAATAAAAAACCCAGCAGGGGAAAGAAAAAAAACTCAGTATGAGAAAAGCGAGCAAAGAGTGTGACACAAATGCATCTTTAGCTGGTAGGGCTCAGGGACTGACTATTGATGAAGTCTCTTGCTCTCACTACCCAGACTGTTTCGGATTGTGCCTGACTGGTGTGCACTGAAGATGGCAAGGGACAGAAGGGAATACATGAATATGGAGGATGGGAACAAAGCTCTCCTATTCAAGTATAACTATAGCCTAAGAAAAGTGTGTGTGTGTGTGTGTGTGTGTGTGTGTGTGTGTGTGTTAGCATGAATGTTTGGATGAGTATGCTGATTTATCTCTTGACTGCTTGAATGTACTGGAATGCAGTAGGTTAAAAAAAAAGACAGTACATTAAGTTGCAAGAGGAAAGTAGTGGAGAGAAGGGAGGAATGAAAGGGAGTAGTATAGAGTTAATTAAAATATATTACATATTTGCAAACCATAAGAAGGATGTTAAAATATGAGGGAGCTCATTGGAAAGAAGGGTTACATGAAGGGGGGTTGGCGATGAGAGAGGGAAGGGCAAGTGACCAAAATACAGCATACACGTGTTTAAAATAGGTATAATAAAATTCAAAGACCTCAAAAAAGAAATAAAATTATACAAGAAAAAGAAAATATCTGGGACAGAAGAGATGGTCCAGATGGTTAATTAAATAACTCACTGCCAAACCTTATATATTGAATTTCAAACCTTATATATTGAATTTGATCCCCAAGATCTACTGATGACAGGAGAGAAACAATTTCCTCAAATTGTTCTCAGACATCCATACACACTTGTGGCTTGAGTGCACACACAATCAAGCACGGACGCGCACACATGTGTGTGCACGCGCATACACACACACATACACACACAGTATAAAATAACATTAAGATACTTTTATTCTGCTTATGTTGCTCTAGCATTACGAGTGGACAGTCTCATCACAGTTCCTACACCAAAGCCTCACACACAATACTGTAGATAATTTGATGTTCTTAGGTTGATGTGCCCTTGGAGACATGTTAAAATGAAGAAAGCACCCTAATCATGTAAGAGTTTATCATATTGGTTGATTTTTTTCATTAAACATAGCAGGGAGGGAATGTTAGCTCCCACACATCTGTAACCTAAATAAGAGCACAATAAAAATGCAATAATGAAAATGTTAATTGAGCTCCTGACATTTAATACTTCAAAATGAGAAATTAAAGCTGGCTACAGCTTGTCAAGCTCCCATCAGCATCCAAGAGCACACAGCTAGCCAACTTGTTTTGACACATAGGCTTCTAAAAATAACCCCAGTGCTTAGGCTCAGGGAGTGGGTGTACAAGGAGAGGGGAGGAGCTTTGAGAGCCACTATAGATGTCTGTAGGAAATTCATCTTTTCAGGCATAGGTCTAAGGGAATAGCCAAAACAAAAGCAAAGAAATAAGGTGGAGAAGATCCTGGTCCCATGGTTGCCACCAGAAGGCATAATAATAATAAAGTGTGGTAATCTGCTAGATCTTTTAGCAATATCTACTAAGAAAAACTGGAAGGAGGAAAAGGAAGAGAGGTCTAAATCTTTGCCAACCCTAGCACTGTCTCTTAACCTGTTGTTCTCAGCCTGTCTTTCGAATCTTCACCCTGCTGGCAGTTGGGTGATGGTAAGAAGCTCACTTCATAGACTCTGTTTTCAGAAGAATCTTCCATTATCCGAAGGGCACCCTGAGAAATACACAGCTAATTACAGGGACCAGAAACTAGGTTGTCAGACTGAGAAACAGTACAGATGTTTTGTAGTATGATTTTATGCTGGGCCATATTGTCTTTAAGCAGCTCAGTGGACAGTTGTAAGAGAAAGAATGTAGGTAATGTTATCATTGAGTGGCCTGATGAAGGGCTTCCTTGGTTAAGTAAAATGAGGCTCAGGCAGAGTGGCTGCTGAGCAATCTGGAAGGTAGTATAGCTTTGGCTGCCTAAGGGGTGCCTAGGAAGCAGGACATGGGAATGAGTCAGGAAAACAAGGAGTTTTTATTATTATTATTATTATTATTATTATTATTATTATTATTATTTTTAGCAACTGCTTATTTTGTAAGCAAACAAGTTTCTACTGACATTTGTGTGTTATTCAACTTTTATCTGTTTCCTGCCATTGCAATCATTCTCTGATCTTTCAACACTGATGAACTACGAAGAAGGAATTCTGGAGCTCCCTGGGTTAGAAATGCTTCTCCAAATGACAGCAAAAGGACCTGTCCTGACAGGAACACCAGTGGCTCAGTAGGGGGTTGGGGAATGCACACAGACAACTGAATACAGAAGGGGCAGAAGTGGGTTAGCCTTGGAAGAGGCACAGTTAGGTGTTTGTGAGCTGCTGTTTGATGGTTACAGGATTAACCACTATTGTAATGAGAAAGAGTGTGCTCAGTCATGAGCGGCCACCCTCTTGCTCTCTGTTTCAGAGTGTGTAAATTGAATAGGACTGTCATCTATCTCACTGTTATACAATCAAGGCAAGTCAAGGGCCACTCTAAGGGGCTCTGGTCCCCTTAGATGCAAGTCCTTCACCGATACTGAGAATCAGTAGCAAGATATTTGGAAGCCCAATACTTCTTTCTAAAGGTAACCACCAAATTCTCCAGAGCTCCCCTCCATAAAGGTTTGAAAGGAATCTCAGTGCAGGCATTCTTCCACAGCTTCCTCGACGCCAGTTCTCAGGACAATATGGAAAGAGGAAGTGAACAGGAAGAGTGGGAATCAGGGCCCTGAGCTCTTCAGGCAGACAGAGGGCATACATACAAGGGAGCTATCTGAAGACCCCCCCCCCGCCCCACACACACACCTAGAGTAACAGTGAAGGCATGTTTGGGTGACTTCCTAATTATTTTCCTTAAGGAAAATCATTTTCCACAGAAACCAGGTCAGCAAAGTAAAGGAAGCTAGGCATGAAGAATTAGAAGCCAGCACGTTAGCTCAAGATCTTGTCATCTGTGTCTTAGCTTTCCCTCTCCTGATGTTCCATGGCTGGCAAGAAGCCTCAGGAGTTTGTGAGCAAGAGATGGTAATTAGTAAATTGTGATAACATAGCTAAATATTCAAAAATAAATACTTAATTTCTGAATGCCTGCTAACTCTTAGCATTAGACTAATTTAGAAGTGTGTGTGGTTAATACCATCTCACCTACACAATTTTCTCCAGTCTTATAAACGTGGTCTTCTCTCTTTGTTTTTGCAATATGTCCATAAGGAAGATTACACTTTCTGCTTTACAGATGAGGACATGAAGTTCAGAAGTTGAAAAACTGAACCAAATGCACCAGCCTAGCAAGTGTCAGAGCTCAGCTTTAGAGATCTGAATGACAGGGTTTCTGAATTTCACCGCATTCATAATGTATGCATATGATTATGGGTCCTGTTGAAGAGAAAAACCAAACTTCCTTCTTCTGATGAAAGAATGGCTTTAAAGTCAGGGATACAGGGGGATGATAGGTGCCTTATTATGCAGAGTAGCCATTGTGTCCTGAGCATTTGGAAACGCTGGAAACTCATTCCTTCATGTAACTCAGCAACCCAGCTACATTAGCTCTCCCATCACCACTTTGCCAGTCAAAACCCCAAAATTCAGAGTGTTTGAGCAATGCCTGGCTATCATCAGAAGAATTCAAATAATGTCTACTTTTATGACTGACCCCTATTTCCCACTGTAGCAGCTGATCCAGTCTTGGGTTTTCCGTAGACTTTGATGAGAGGCAGATGGACTATCAGTTCCTGAGCTTGAAGAACTAATTCATGTGGACTGTGGGTGTGGATATCACTCTCCAAGCTAGGGCCAGAGCAAAAGAGCCTATGCTCATCTCACTGACCTGCACTTCTAGGAACAGTAGTGGTGTTAGTCATGCTGGATCCTGTCCACACTTGTTGAAGAGAAGCTGCCTGTAGCAGCCACCTAGCTGGTTAATGTGCTTGGTTGTTGCTAGTGATTGAAAGTTCATTGGATTTGAGCTTTGGAGCTAGAATCCATATCTAGAAGAACAGGGCTCCAGATGCAAGAGTGTTGGATTGGTGGAGGAAAACTATAACCTAAGAAAGTCACTGTGAATGTATCTGCTTTCATTAGGAAAAAAAAAAAAAAGCTACCTGACACCACCAAAGCTGTAATTTCTAATATTAGAAGGAAGCCTGCCTTGCTTTATGCCAACAATGATGTATTCCTGAAAAGGTATATGCAAATCAAATGCATGCTAATCAAGGCACATCCCCTAGAGACTTTCATTTCATCAGAGAGTTGTTTATTGTCACTTCTGATTGATGTTCAGTGGACAGTGGCTCCAACAATGCAACCTGAAGTTTTTCTGCCCTTTTCCCCTAGGCTCTCTGCCAAGTGCTTAATCATGGGTAAACAAACCTTTACATGCACCAGAGACCTCCTGATTAAAAACAGCTCTGCGGTGAAACCCTTTGGAAAGTATCTTCTGTGTAAAGAGGAAGATGCCCTACCTGATATTTGGAGAGCTGGGAAGTTCACACGGCATGTTTTCTCAAACCAGGAATTCCCTGTTACAATCTCTCTGATCAGTCAGTTGACTTTGACAGGAATGCTGGCCTTTCACTAGATTCACAGGACTGGGGCCAGGATGAATTAACCTAGAAGCTAATCCTGTTCAAGGTTCTTTGCAATCTAGTCTTTGATGATGGGCTTTCAGGATTGAAAAATCTTGCTCATTTTCTGGGGAGCTTTCATCTAATGCTCAAATGAAACCAGGACCAACACATAAGCCACGGACCAGAGACCCTCAGTGAGGAAAAAGCCCAGGGAAGATTCCTTACCTGTGGCCACCACAAGTCCAGGGGCTGTGTTCTTGCTAGAGATCCTTCCGGAGGAATACGGGTTTTCAGAGAGCTGCAGATGAAGGTGTAAGGAACAGAAGGGCTAAAACAAAGAAAAAAGAAATCACCTCACTCCAGGGAACTCCAGCCATACCCTCACTTCTGCACAAGATGAGGGTCTTGCAGAAATTTATCATCTGGGAATAGCAATGGTGGATGCTGAACTTCAGACCCATCTGCCTGATGGACCCATTACTTCACATGAGCAGTTGCCCCAAATGCCACTCATAGTTTCTTCCTCGCTTGCTCTCATTCCATATCAAACGCCTCTTCTGCAGTCAACCTAGCCTTCAAGGTCTAGTTCATGGTTAGCGTCAGGAGCCCCCCCCCAGTCCTTTCTTTAACAAACGATGACAAATGTCCCTCCAGATTAGATGGTAACCATCAAACCCGCTTATTAGAGCTCTAAGGGGCCACCAGAGAGAAGGAAGAGAGGTAATTACATGATATAGTCCAGGTCTTCAACTACTGAGTTCTATGTGTTTATATGTTTTGACCTTGCTTATAATTTTACTTGAAATAATTTGAGCCTCTATCTGAAATTCACTGAATACGGAACTGTTTTCTATTCCTTTCCAGCCCAGTATGAAATGGGGTTGGGGATATATACCTTTAAAATAAAAATAAATGAGATGAAGACAAGCTAAGATAAAGAGAAAATTCAGTGAAGAGAGTAAGATGAAGTCATCACTGAGGTTTAGCAGTGCAAAGAGAATAAATTAACCAACGACTTTGTGAGCTGTTCCAATGGGTAGCCATTTGTGTGACATTCCTCATATCCACACCAAAGCTACAACTAACACTAAATACACCAAAGTGTGAAATTAGACTGAAAATAAGAAAATGGTGGTGGCTGTGACCGACCTAGACTCGACTATACCTCTAGATTTTAACACAGTGTCAATCTGGAATTCACCTGGCTGATTCATCTCTTTGAATACATAGCAGAAGACAACTTTTGGCTGAGGATAATCACATATCTGAGATCACAGAATGGCTTCTGGTATTTACTAACATGAAACTGATGGTTGTATTATTGTCAATTATCTTTCCTTACCACTTTAAGTTGAGGCACCCTGGGGCAGAGATGTCATCTTACACATCATGTCCTCCACACTGTCTGCCTCAATATTCTACATAGCAAGGACCTTCAAAAGCTGACAGGTTAACTGATGATCCTGTGTAGGCAGTCCTGCCTGACCTTCCTGGGTTTCTTTGTTATCCTGACATCTATATAGCATCAAACAAAGTAGAAGTCAACAGATGGGTTAGCCCCACTGAGTTATGTCTGGGACTGTTATTAATGAGTGCAGGCTTATTTTTCATTTCCTTTTTTTTTCTATCAGCTATAAGATATTGCTTATTCCAAACAAAGACCCATGCAATGCACTTAGTGTTCCATACAGTTGGTGTAGAGATCTGAGCCTGAAGACCTGTGATCCCGACATCGCTTAGCATGTTCCTAAGATCTAATACTGGGAGGAGACCTTGAAGCAGTATCCCCAGGGAAGCAACCTGCCCTGTGAATGCCACATGGGACTTGATAACTGACCAGTAAGCAGTGCACTGGACTTCCTCTCAGGTCCACATCTGGAGCTTGTAGCAGACGCCAATCCCTGCCTTTGTTGTAAGTGATGTATGTCTTCACCTGGTCATCTACCTTCTTATTTGCCAGGAATATCCCCTTGATACCTGCTACCTAGGAAAAAGGTGAGAGATGGAGAACCACGTTGGGCAAGAATGGCGGTATCCTTGGAGAAACCCTGAAAGAATCACCAGCATCTCCCACAAGGCATGAGGGGAACAAAACAATAGAAAAGGAATGCAGGAAGGAATGTCATATTCCACACAGTTCCTGCTCACCTTTGTGACCCACATCAAATCGTTAGACACACCCCTTAGCCATCAGATTTTCCTCACTTTACCTGTCTTTCTTTTTATTTTTTCCCCTGTAGGATATTATCTTTAATTAACTATTAACAGTTCCTTTGATAAAGACCAAAGGATTTACCCCTGCCAGAGACAGCTGTTTTAGCTCAAGATATTCTATTAGACAGGTTTTGATGTCACCAAGAAAATCCCCTTTATGGTGGCATCCCATTAATACCTCTTAGAAATAGGGTAGATATTATGCGGCAGATGCTCCAGTGCATGCCTCTAGCTCACTGTATGACTTTGGGTAATTCACATATTATCTTTAGATGACTTTTAAATTGGTGGCTTCTCTTCTTTTCCCTAGTTGGCTGACAAAGGTCCTCTGAGATAATGCAGTCCTCTTGCCAGAGTTTCTAATGTATTGGAATTTTCATGCCCTTGATATTCTGAAGGAATAAAGAGCACCACTATAGAACAAGTAGCTGGAGTTGATTTATCAATTACATACACCCCAGGCTAAGTACAAATTCCACTTAAATTGTTATTCTATGTGCTGGAAAGGAGAGCAGAATCTTAAAATGACAATGTCCTGTAACAGAAAAAAAGAATCTTAAAATTGTCATCAGCATATTACAAGGACAAAACACAAACAAGATTTTGTGTGCATGTGTGTAACAAATAAGACAATGCGTGTATTAGAAACAATAATTGTGTGTGTGGGGGGGCTTGTGTGTTGCATGTGTGCACCCAAATGGAAACTACACACACACACACACACACACACACACACATACACACACAGAGAGAGAGAGAGAGAGAGAGAGAGAGAGAGAGAGAGAGAGAGAGAGAGAGAGAGACTACATAATCGTCATTGTAGAATAGCAGGTTTGCTGGATGTATTTTTTCATTGTCAACTGGACTGGATTTCCTCATTTCCCTATGAAAAACCACCTCTTAGTATACATTTGAGAATATTTCCAGAAGATTTAACTGAAAAGGAAGCTCCATCCGGAATGTAGCACTCTGCCATCCCATGGACTAGGAACCTAAAGCGAATAAAAAGAAGGAAGCTAGTTTATCATTATTTATCCGTCTCTGCTTCCAGACTATAGATGAAATGTGACCAGCCACTCACCCTTTTGCTGCTATGACTCCCCCATTGTGAAGTACTATATCATCAAAGTCTGTGTCCAAATAAGCCATTCCTTCCTCAGATTGCATTTGCTAAGTATTTGTTATAAATACGAAGGAAGTAACTAGCACAGTGGACAGCACTGATGGATTGAAGTTCTCATTTTACTTGTCTGCCATTCTTCAAGGGTCATGGTTAACTGAAATTCACTACAGCTTTGAAGGAACAGCAGTTGGAGGAAAGGAAAAGTAAGTTTCACAGAGCTGGATTTTTCTTTCCTTCATTCTTTCTTTCTCTTTCTTTCTTTCTTTCTTTCTTTCTTTCTTTCTTTCTTTCTTTCTTTCTGTCTGTCTGTCTTTCTTCTTTCTCCTCTCCTAAATGACAAACAAAAAAGCCTCAAACAAATGGACAGAGAATGTCAGGAGAAGAAAGAATTATGAGGAAAGGGCAGCAGAAGGAATTTGGTACTGAGTCAGTGATGGATTGAAGGGATGACTAGACTGCCACCTTGAGCTGAAAGAGGGTGGGGACAGAGAAGCAGTGTTAGCAAGATGAGGCCTGTGTCCCTGCGGCATGGGTCCGAGCCGTACCCTCCCTGTCTCAACAGCTCTCAGACAGTGTGTTTTAGAAAGACTCGGGCCTCACACACTCCCAGGCAGCCTAAGCAGATTTCAAGGCTCATTAATTTATTTATGTGCATGTGTGTGGTAGATTATGAGTGGGAGTGTGTGCCTAAACCTTAAAAAGGTCTCTTGAAGCTCAAACTGTAGGCCCTTTCTTGGTGCCTGTCTCCTTATTTAGTACTAGGATCTGAAGCATTATCCTCAGGAACACACATCTCTCTAGCGCCCAAACTTCATCTTTAAAGCCCACTGAAACCATACAGATTTAATCTGGCTGCCTGGCACTTCCCCCAGAGAACAGGATTTTGCTCTACTTTCCATAGATCCTCCTACTGAAGGGAAGTGTTTTCTGGTGTTGTCTTTGGCCACAAAGCTGGTGCCATCATTGCTAGTCTGTGAGAGAATGCTTTCTTGAATCAGTTGCCCTCCTGCAACTCACACCCAGGGACTTGATGTTTATTTCCTGGAAAATTAAAAAAAAAAAAAAAAAAAAAAAAAAAAAGTGTGACTCTGAGTCCAGGAGCACCTCTGGCTGTGAAGGGCCTGTGACATCCTTGCATGAGAACAGGCATGTGCAAACATGCACGGTGAACATGTCAAACAAACAGAATATGCTTATTCTGTGTCTCCCATGAGTACAGTACCCACTACTAAGAGAGGCAACTTCTATGAGTCACACAGAAATTTCCCTCCGTCAAAACTGAGAGAATAGAAAACAAAAGTTGTAGGAAAAGAAGGTATTTCCATGGAAATCTCTTGAAGCAGCCCGTAACTTGTCTCCCCTGAAGCTGGACACAATGGTACAGCACATGTCATTTATGTGGGGATGGTTCATCATGTGCCCATCATTTCTGGGATCATTCTTGGCTTCATGTCTTGAATAAGTAAATAAACAAATGGACATCATTTTAAAGGCCACTTAGCCACTGTGTCTTTCAGTACAAGAACTTTGAATATTTGGTTGCAACTCAACTTAGAACTATATTCATTCTCCATCCTAACAGTCATGTCCGCATCTATGTGCTTGGAGACGTGTGTGTGTGTGTGTGTGTGTGTGTGTGTGTGTGTGTGTGTGTGTGTGTGTGTGTGTGTGTGTGTGCTCTTCTGACATGAGGGGATCTTCAGCACTTCTCAGCCTCCCTGCATGGAGTATAATGGAATTAAGAAATGAGATACATGTTTTTTGCTCTTCATCTGAGGAGGCACTTAGCATTCCATTAACTTTACATATTCTTTCTCCCACTGTAGGTTGAAATCATTAGTGTGGTTACTGCTGATGTTCTTGGAAGTCTAGTGAGAAGCATGTGACAGTACCTACAAAAGGGTACAAGTGCCATTGTAGTACGGTTTTATTCTTTGTGCATAACATGATCACCATCTTAGAGTAAAGATTACCTTGGCTAGTAGCCATGGCAACTAATTGAGAACAACACAAAAACAGCTAGGTGCATTGTAATGTTAACAGACTACTGACAGCCCTGCAAGGAAGAGGAGAAAAGGCCCACAAGACTCTCCTTGGGGATGGCAGTCTTTATTCCTTCCTGCCCTCCCATATGTGTAAGGGACTGTGGAAGATGCTTTAGTGCATAGAAAGTAGAAGGTTAATTAAGTCTTCAAGGCTGACTCCATGATGCTGTTTGCATGAGGCCATGAAAGAATGGAGCTTTGTCTTCATGCAATGGTTTCAGAGCATCAACTCATGGTCCTGGAAGTCAGCTTTCACCAAGACTTTAACTTGTGGGTTCTCCAAGTTGGACTTTGGTGGACTCTTAGTTTTGATACCCTGTCTGGGGTGAACAAACATTTGGTTTCATCTCCCCATGAAAAGTTAATGCAACAGTATTAGGTTGGCAAGGCTCACTTTCCCTCTGGGAATCAGACTGAGGTGCACAGGGACAGTGACTGCAGGTCCCTTGGCAGACCATGGTGTCCAGGTGATATGGTCATCTGTTAGTAATGTCCCTAGGACTTCAGGACAAGGAAACTAGGAATCTGCTGAGAAAAAGCAATTAGCATGATCTGCCGTGGGCTGTCCCTAGTATCTGAACTACAATAAGGGTCTGACCAAGGTCAGTGCAGGAAAACAATCCCTGTGGAGTTTATAAGCAGCTGTCCATCTGGGCCAGAAATGATCACTGAAGGTTATAACAGCAGATAGAATGGAGGGAGGCACTAGAGACAGGTAAGGCAAAGAAATAACAATTAATAAGCAGAAAAGTGGGACACTGGGGCTCACTCAAAGTGTTACAGTCTATCTGTCCACACATAGAGAGTTCAGCAGTTACTAGAGAAGTGAAAAATAATCCTGCAATGATAAAGCACCCAGGCTATAATCAGAAAGGCTAAAGGTGTGTGAGCGCGCGTGCGCGCATAAACACACACACACACACACACCCCTGATAATACCAGGTGTTGAAGAATGTATGAAATAAGGAAAACACTCATATTCTCCAAATGAACCACCACTTTACAAGCACTCTGATGGCTTTTCATGAACACAGATTTATATTTAATTTGGCAATTCTTCCTTTAAGTGTTTATTTATGAAAACTGAAATGTAATGTTCATTTATAGGTGTTAAGTACAATCACACAAAATTGAAAGTGACCTAAATATTCTTCAATGGATGAATAATAACTATAGTCTGTTCTGGGACACTACTCGGCAATGAAAATTAACATTTGCTGATACATTTTACAGTGTGTACTATGCACCAGATGACTACAAGATACAACTTCTAAGCCAAGCTTACATGTTGTGTTATTCTACCAACTGTCACTCTACAATAGGCAAAGGAGCCTAGGAGAAGTCAAGTAGCTGTTTCTCGTGGTACAGGTTGGTACAAGGATTGAATACATTTCAAGGGCATTAGAGAGAAGACTGTGGGACCCATTCCTCCCACATTTTGACTCTGAACTTAGTTGTACGCACCTATCAAAACCCATAGAACCATATACCAAAGAACCTATGTTTATTGCATGTAAACTCGACCTCTTTTCTAAAAACTATAAAAAGTAGGAAGATTAGAGAAAGAAGCTTGACACGTTAGCCAAGCGTACATGGATTCTTTCAAATGTAGCATCAAGGTGTCCTAGTTATACGATGTGAGCTAAGCCATTCAGTTCGACAAGACCCTGTAAGTTTATAGTCACCTTGGGGAACAATGCTTACCATAAAGGGAAACAAACACAAGTGTTACTGTGATTTAGGTCTGCAAGACCCACCAAGGGAGCCATTGGCCACACATGATACTTAGCAAGTGAGAATAAGAGACGGATTCCATTTTATTTAGTTTTAATAAATGTTAATTTTAGTGGATAATCAATTTGGCTACTGGCCCAGTTCATTCATATGTATGTGACTCTCCTTTATAACACAATTTATAAAATAACATTACATATCAACTACTTCTTGTAAAAAAAAAATAGTATATGATGGGAGGGGGATGGAAGTATGAAATATAACCTGGAGTTTTCAGACTTGGAATGAGTATTTTTTTTTCTTGTGAGCATTTATGAAACAAACATTTTAGATACATTTTTACAGAAATTGAATGTGTTTCTATAATTAACTTCATTTGTTCATTTTTTACTTAAAATTTATGTTGTAATAATTTAGAAGTCTGTTTGTAGCTTGTGGGTTTTGTTTTTGGAGACCAGGTCTCACTACGTAGCCCTGGTTGGCCTGGAAATCTCCATGAAGATAAGGGTTACCTTAGATTCATAGAATAAAGTCTGCCTCCCAAGGGCTGCGATTGAAGGTCTCAACTCCATGCCAGGTTATCAAGTTATGTATTTACTGTAGTTTACAATACTGGTCTAAGGCATGACTGCTAATCCTGTATTATTGTAAGGAGTTATAAGTTGAACACTTATTACCTGAGGAAGCATCAAAAAAAAAAAGTTCTTAACACCAAGAACTCTTAGCTCAACTGTGGGTGCTGGTATAGATATTTGTGGGACATTTTAATTACTTATTAGTGGAATATTACTAAATGGAAATGTAGTTTATTGTTGGGAATATGAAAAAAAACCTACAATACTATGCTGTATGAAAAAAAAAATGTTCAAATACAAGTAAAATCACTTGCAAAGTACTGCATTCAAGTGGTTCACTGTCAGCAGCAGCCTAGGAAGAAGACCTTGCAGAAGAAACCAATGATTATTTTATCATCAAACACGATTTTCTTCTGTATACAATTACAGCAATGGAAGTATTGTACTTGAAAGTTGGAATTAGAATATAAATTAGAAAGAGAACTTCTATAGCTGGAGGTCATGGCTCCAGACTAGTTCTCAAAATTGTGTCAACCCTTTCTGGTTAGAGAGAACTCAGTGGAGTGGGTCTACTACCTTCTCCAAGGAACCTTGATGCCAAGGCTTGCAAGGGAAATCCATACCACTATTTCTTTCATTGTCTTGTCTCTACTGTCACATAGCATGAGATATTTATAGGGAAGATAGAATATTGCATCAGCATCTTTAGGTAGTCAAGATGGACCTAAGCCACCCAATATTTGACAGTTCTCTAAAAGTATTTCTCCTGCAGAGAAAGAAAATAGTTTTGATAACTTATAACATTAGAAAGTCACAAATTAAGCTGTATCAGCCTGTGTGAAAATATTTGCTGGTGATGTAAATATGAGAGAAAAGTAGAAACACAAACACAGAGTAAATGCCCACCTCTGTACTGAATGTGTGTCAAGTCAGTACCAGTGTCTTTGTGTTCTTAATTCCCTCTACTCCACAGAACATTTAAACTTCTATGAGAACAAATCTCTGTTTACCTGACTTCAGCTCTCTAAACTCTCAATCCTAAGATCTTCCTAGATCTCCAGCAGACCATCACTGAACACAAGTCACTACAAATTCCTGAATAATTCAACTTCCTCCTGTAGGACTCCACAACATAGCAGAAAGATGCCTCCAATAGAAGGTTGACTATGCTCTTTACCCTGGTAGGATCTCCTATACTTAACAAGTAGATTGTCATCAAGACTCAATATCACCAGACTAAATACATTTGGTTAAAGTGATGTATTTAGCTGAATTATCTATGAAAATTTAGTGCTTTTCCCAGCTGCATTACTCAAGGGCACTTGAAGTCCAAAAGAAATATACCCTCTTTGCTAACTAGCCATATGGTCTTTTTTCTCACTCCCTATCTATGTATAAGAATCTCCAGTGAAGAAGGTTAAATCTTAATGACCCCTAGAGACCAATTAAACTGAGCTGTATCTCCAAACCACAGAATGTGTCTCTGGGTGCAAAACAGCCCCATCCATTAAAAATCTTCAATATGGTCATGGTCTAGATAATGTCAGGCTCCAACTTATTCACTAATTATTAAATGCCTTCTGGAATCTGAAATCTAATCAATTACCTAGTTCTCATCCATGTCCCTGACAAGCATTATTCTGTACAATTAGGATGGCTAGCACACTTCATCAAAAATGTACCCCATCTGTCTAGCCCTTGGTCCATGCCATTCTTAACATTTGGGATGGATCACATTTTTCCACTACTTCCTCCAGAGGATGTTAGTGGGACTGATAAAACAAAACAAAACAAAACAAACAGGTCATTCTGCAAGAAAAGTACTGGGCATATACAGTTCATCATGATCTCCCTTGTTTTGGGATCTGCCTGAACCATTTAGATACACTTGCTGTACCTCACTGCTGTTTGGAATCACACATGCTGTGTGCCTTCAGTTCTGGCATGTCATCATGCGTATATATATGAGAACACGGACTTTACAGAGATTGTCGATCCCTTACACACACCACGCCACTCAGCTCACAATAATGGCACCACACAAGCACTCTATCTTTATTTCTCTGGAACTGGGGTACAAAAGAGGTGACATCCCTTGCCTCAAAAATGCAATTGCCAATGAAAGAAGGAGTCAGACACAGGATGACAATGCTTGTGCTTATAAATTTAAAACACATGAAAAGAAAGGTCAATACAGAGGGTAATAATTTTGGCTACATACCTCATATAGTTCAATAATGATGTTTCCCATTAGACCTCGACTGCTCTTAATGTTCTCCATGGCCAGAGTAAAGTAGATCCCGCGCGTGTCTGAGATGTAGAGGTTGTACGTGTCGTTCTGGTTCCATTCTTGGACGGCTGCAAACACTTGGTTCTCATCTGTGCTGATGATGTGCATGTCCTGTTATGGGAGAGAAGGGCCTCTGAGAAGGTAGCTCTCCACACCCTTCTCCCCGCTGGGGCCCTGAGTAATTACCAGGATGGGTGAAACGGCTGAGAAACATCTTGAGTTATAGGCAATGTTAAGCAGTTCTGTGTTGGAATAAGGCTATAAATCGTGAACATCATGATTTCTGTTCCTTGCTAAGTGACAGAAAGATGGCTGTAAGGGGCTTTTGTGGGCATCATTTCCCATGGTTTCAAGGGAATCGTCCATGCTCATTTTTTATTTTTATATCTGGATGTTAGTGCTCGTGCTAACAGAGGCACCCAGCCTTCCCGGACACTCATTCACGTGGAGCAGCAGGCCCTATCCTAGCTTTTGATCTTCACTTAGGTGTTAAATCTTTCCGTACCATGTTTTACCTTTGAATCTTCAGTATCAAATGGGTGGTACGGAGGCAAGTGAGTCTGGCTGTAGACACTAATCCCACTAACCCCACATAACGATGGGAATCTACTGTGTGTCCAGGAGCTCTGGGTGTTATTAAAGTAAAGCTAGGGAGAGCTCGCTGCAGGTGCCCTGGATCTTACATAAGTACAGCACTGTGAGATGAATGACTGATAAATGTATCAGTCTCCACGAATTTCAGTTTTCTCCCCACGGAGTGAAAATATAAGTACCTAGTATTTGGAAACTATAATGTCTTCCAATATTTTTAATTAAAAGTCAAATAATCCTATGATATAGATAGTAAGATTATTATGATTTTCTGGAATAAGCCAAGGCACACAGCAGTTCATCAAATTGTTCCAGATTACACAGACAGTACATGACAAAACTAGAGTTTTAAATATCTGAGTGTCTGACTCAACAGATTGGTGAGCTTCATTTCAATGCATAGTTTTTAGATCACTGATTTTACACTAGTTACCAGTAAAGAGTGACTGCAAATGTCAGTTTGGCCTCTATGGAAAACTACAACTCTAGGCTTTTTGGTATACATGGCAACTTTGGGGGGGTCTCAGTCCTAATAAGTCTATGTTCTTACAATCTACTCTTCACATGCTATCATTAAGCTCACAGACCTTGCTTTCATTTAGTTTCTAATCCTGGTCTGTATTATTCCTAAAATCTACTTTGATAGTTCACAATTTAAAAACAATTAAAAAAACATACCATATATAATGATGACACATTCAAGTACATACCAAAGAATATGCATTTATCAGGAGAGCATGTTGGCATGGTTAAACATGTTGAATGTGATGACATTAAAATGCATAAGTACAGTGTGTACACCATGTAACAGACCATGGAAGGAAAACCACACTTGCACCTATGGTGAAATGCACTGGTATCAGCCATTTGCTAAGGCCAATGGCAAATTAATAATCAGGTAGGGTCTACCTCTGCTTTATTAGACCTAGCTATCCCAGAATCCATTTCAAGTGAAAAGAGGCCACAGTGTCTTCAGTGTCAACACTGTAGTGTGCATGTGTGTGTGTTCCCGACAACACCCCCATTTTATTAAGAAAAAATAAAACAATAAAGTTTGAACTTGTCAATTGGGAGGTAGCAAAAACAAATTCTGGACCTTTCCTTAGAGGTCATTTGTCAAAAGTCCCTAGCGTTGAACTTTCTAGGTCACCTTGACTCAGATTACTTGCTTACTTGTGCGTATATATCTTGTAGAATTACAGTACCCTGCTGAACTGATTTAAAAGAGAAGTTTTGTTCCCCAAATCCATGTGATGAAACCGTGTTGTGCAGGCACAGAATGAACCCAAGAACCCAGTAGGCAGGGAAACAGCAGCTGCAGGAAATACGAATTAAATTCACTTACCCTGTTAAGAATGCAATAGAAATGCCTGGGTTTTCCCAGATGTTTTGGTCATAAAAATGAATGAGCTAAGTTATTTTAAACTAAACTAATGTAAAGTAAGTGGGGAGGAAACAACTTAGCACACCATGGAATGGTCAGGGTTAGAGGCAGCCAGCTTTGCTGTGAGTGCATATTAGGTAAATGCTATCCTGGGGCTGTGCCAGCTGGTGAACAGGTACTCAGCCTCAGGCATAAGAAGCTAGAAATCTTCATGTCTGAGATTCTATATTGCCCTCCTGAGAAGTACTTCGTTTGTCAGTCATGCAGCTGAATAAAAAAAAAAAAAAATGATAATACTAAGGTTTTGTCAAGAAACTAACTCTTTAAACAGCGTATCACCAAGGTAATAACTTCACTGCAATCAAAACAACCTATAGGTCTTCATCAACTTCTTCATTATTTTCCCATTGGAGAGGGGCTTTGCTATGCCACAGAATACCATGATTAAACTTGATAGTTAACTCCAGAACTATAATTACCAGGAGGGACAGACCTCTGCACATTTTATGTTGATTAGGTTAACCAATATTTTAGATGACTAAATCACTGTCAGTGACACCATTCCCAGGGCTGGAATTCTGGATTGTACAGGAAGCAGAAAGTAAGCCGAACACAGATAGCTACTACTCTCTGCTTCTTGATTCTGCATTCAATGTGACCAGAAGCTTCAATCTTTGTGACTTACCTGTAACAGGAGACGGTAATCTTGAATTATGAACCAAAACAAGCCTTTATTTTCCACATTAAGGTAGTCTAGCAAGGCATTTTTACCACAGCAATAGAGACAGCAACTAAGATGTCCAAGCTAGCTTTGAGTTCCTGAACTCAAAGAACCTTCCTAATTCTGCCTCCAAAATCGCTAGAATAAAAAATAGTATGCCCAGTCTGATCTTGAGATCTCAACAGCAGACAGACATGGGTCTCTCTGACATCATGACTAAGAATGACTAGTAGAGAATTTTATATTTTACAACCTGAACATGTCTTCCAGATAGTCCTAGAAAATCACTTCAAAAAGTTCTACCAAGCACGATGCAACACGATGTTTTCATCTACAAAGGTCTCATTAAATAACCACACAACTGAATCACAAAATTACATTTTAAAAAAATTGTAATAATCTCTTAGTACGTTCACAGTATTGTATTGGGCCACATCATAGCTATCTTAGGGTGCATGTAGCCATGGGCCATGGGTAGTTCATGCTTCCATTATGAACTCTCTCTCTCTCTCTCTCTAAATCAACAGATAAAAACAAGAATATTAAATCTTTAAGGAAAAAGAGCAGTATTAGTTAAAATTAGCCCATCAGGATTCTGGACAGTCACAAGGTATTTTCTTGGATGTAACTTCCTCAACTGGATCCCAAAGCATGTATTACTTTCTTTTTGCTGGCCTTTAAAAAACATGAGAAGACTGTCAGTGATGATAATGGAAGAAAATGGAGGAAGGGAAACAGTATGAATACATGGAAATTGAACCTTGCTTGTTAAGCTGCCACAACTTGAAAAGCCTCAGAAGTAAGCACAAATGTTATTAGAAAAACAGTGATCAATAATACACCCTGCCATTTCAACAATGATTTTTTTTTTGGGGGGGGGGGAAGCCCTAGTAACTTTTTGAAAACAAAACAAAAAAAAAAAAAAAAAACCTGGGTCTTTGGATATAAACACTAATGAAAATACTTCACCATTCCTGACTTTTTAAAAATAGCCTAGATCTCCTAAAACTTTACATAAATACCTAAATAATTAAGCATTTTCCACCCTCTAGGTAGGAAGAAGAATAAAAGATAAATAAAGCCTACATCAAAGAAGATGTCCCTAAGCAGATGCTCAGATGGTGGAGAAATGACAACTCTTCATCCCTAACTAAGTGCTACACTAAAGCAATGAATATGAGGAGAAGGAAGGAAGGAAGGAAGGAAGGAGGAAGGAAGGACAGATGCACTAAAGTTGAGAGTGTGTGGACATTCAAGGACAAAAGTTAAGGGCTCAACGCATCTCCCAATGTAGAAAGTAAGAATAAAGGGGCTACATCACAAGGGCTTTTGTGAAGCACATCTAACCTTCATTTGGAAGGAAGTATAAAGAGTGTGAAGACCTGAACTAAGGAAGTATGTCCTTAATGCCATCTCTGTATATATTAGGGGATATCTATAAGGGGATAGTAAGGACATGTCTACTGTGTCTGACTTGCAGAACTGGCCTCTTTATTTTTAGATAACATGCATTTCATTTGTGACTAGCAATAAAAAGTTACACAGGATTGCTTGTTTAATGTCTTTCTCTCTCACTAAGCTTCCGGGGAGTAAAACTATTGTTTATTACATTATGTCTAGTACTTTCCAAAGAATCTGCTGTAGAGTGCACACAGGACAAGAGTTCACAAAGTAAGCAATGCAAGGAAATAGAAGAGAATGGTAAGGCACAAGGAATATAAAAGAGATACTAGCTCATTTCTAGGCTTTTCAGACCAGACAGGGGAGAGGATGCACTTTGAATAAGCAGTTCACTAAAGGGCTTGTTGGTGGCAAGATATGAGCTGGGACTGTTCATGCATGCATCACCATTATAAATAAAAAGTAGATGAAATCACACAGCATGCAGATTGTAGAAGAATTTAAAAATAGTTACTACAAAAAGATAGTTTGAGGAAGGGCATACAGAAAGGGGAAGAGCATCACTATGGATTTGGGAGAGACCATTATTATCCCAAATACTCCAGAGAAGCAGACAAAGATGAAGTGTAGAGTTGTAAAAGTAGGTTTGACACATAGGTGGTCACTAGCAAGGACGGCTGCAGGATTTTCAAGGGCATATTCAACACGTGGACTGGAGGGCAGGTGGCAGCTAGCAGCAGTTGGAAAAAGAGTGAATAGGAATGAGCAAACAGATTAGGATTACAGATAAATCCTTAAGAAATTGTGGCTTTGACCTACAAGACCTGAGAAAGTTAAGGGAACAAAAGTGAATATCCTTGACACTATTTTTATAACCATGTTATTTTTATAACCACTCCTTCCTATCCTTTATTACCCGTAATGGAACTAATTACATTCTATTGTCAAGTTACTACAAACTCCGACTATTGTAAGGAAATTTTTTTTTTTAACAAAGAAGCTAAATATAAAATC